TGTCATGTACTGGCCTGACGATGAATGACCGAAAACGATCGTTTGCCAACATAACTTTTCAATCGTAGAAATGTGAATTTTCGCTGAAATAATTGTAAACTTGGTGCTTATTATAATTGTATAATTTCAAAAATATAAAATATTTACAAGTATCATTTTATTGTTTTTTCAGTGCATGTTCTCAAACTGACGTCAATTTTGGTCCAGACATTGTTCTAAATACCACCCGCAATACTGTACTCTTCAGTCTAGATCATCGACTTTAAGAGCATGGACTAGACTTGGGATATAACTTTTCCAATGACATAGTTACATAATGCGAGGACATGCAGTGAAAAAAAAACAACAAGATTATACCTGATAATTTTTTTCCATTCTTGAAATAATTAAAGTATAATAAGCACCAAGTGTACAACTATTTAAAATGTGTATACATTTTTTGGGACATCCTGTATATAAGTCTGCTTTCTTGGTCGGACGATCGTCTCCAACAATCAGTAACATCGTGTCTTTACTAGGTACCAATTACAAAAGTCTTAAGAATATCGGGTGGCTAATGGTTGAGATACAGGCTTACCCTTTGCTTTCAACATATCAATCGATGAATGATATGGCTTCTTCAGAGACATTAAACCTAACTTGAAGTTCAGTAAGTGCTATAAACACCAGATTCTATGTATTGAGGTTCTATAAACAGTGAAGCTGGAATACATTGCTAAGATTTTGTGATTTACACTGCAAGACTTGAAGGAGGATCCGTTCTAAAATTGAATTCTGCACTATGGGCGACTGAAGCTGTTTCCAAAGAGTTATTAATGCAGCATGGTAGTAAAATATGGTAGAACGGATCTCAGCCCGTTGTGTTTGACTGCTTATTCTTACCTGCCGTAGTCCTTTCCCACGACACAATGCCAGGTCTCCCCATGGAGGCCATCGAATTCCTTCTTCACAAAGGCAGCCATGTCTTTTTCAACTGTGAATTTTGAGACGGCTAAGAGAACCACCTTAACGGCAGAGTCTTGCATCTCGAGGGTCATATCAGAACTGCGAATATCGACCTTCATTTTCTCAGCCATGGTGATGAGTGTGTCTTTGTCAGCTCTTACCTTCAAGAGCCGGCAGTGTCTCTTTTATAAGCCAAGGTCTGTGTACTTTCTCTGTGGCAGGTGTTGTTTTGCCTAGTGTGGAGTTGTTTTGACTTGAAGTGCATCCCTCCGTCCCTCTTTCAAGAACTCCCAGTGTGTAAACACACATCGTCACAAAAAGCATTTCTGGTATTAGGTCATGTGCGATTAAAGTGCACAAAACTCCGAGATTATACTTCAGACTCTCGGTTCTACCGGTGTTGGATAGTACTGATATTGACCACTTATTCTTAGCCACTAAGCTGCCTCTATGGTCGGTTTGAGATATGAATACAGATTCCCCTCTTTATCGATGTGAATGGTCACTTCTCATTCAGGAAAAATGGTAATAATCCCCGCTGTCTTTCAGTTGTGTTCACTTGGGGTGTCGCACTCAACGGCCAAACGGGGTCGTCTGCCCGGGCTGACCAGCAGAAAATGGCCGGTCATAACCAATCTCAAGTGTGAATCACCCGTGATTCGAACCTGAGACCTTTGGTTATTGAGTGTTACACCCTACCATTGCAGCAAGCGATCGTTGCATTTGTCGGTTGCGATTGGGAGTGTGATGGAAGCAGGGAGCTCACCGATTTATTCTGTTAAGGCGCATACAGGTTTGGATTATCCGAGATTCGAACGCAAGACGGTGGTCATGGAGTACAACACCATATCTCGAGAGCGAATCCCAAGACAAAGCAGAACGAGTGAGTTCCGTCCCGATCAGTGAGCATCTATTCACCATGGCGTATATCCATGATTGAAACCGGTAAGTCAACGAGCGCGTAGCGCAGTGGGTAGAGTACTTGTAGCGCGGTCCACCACCGTCACGTAATCGTACTCCTCTATCCGCCTCGGGGACAGCCTATCACAGGTGTTACAGACTACTACTGGCCAGGCAGTTGATCAAGACGCCAGTGACTAACTGTCACATGACGTTTACGCATTCGCGCTATCAGACTGACGCGCCGCAGGGCCCGGGCCTACCGCGCGTCGGGGCTTCAGACCTCCACTGAGTTTCTGTATACCCCAAACGATTCCCTTGTCTTCCTATATGGAAATGGGCCTGATAATTGTAGTGCTCTGAACACATCCACGACTTGGATCCCCTACACGTTGGACTTCTAGCTAATAAACTCGCGTATTCGAGCTTCAGAGGGTGGCTACCCCTAGGT